GAGGAAAAATAATAAGCTTCCTCAAAGAGAGAAATGATGTTATGCAGCCCACATACACATTTTTTAGGGAACTGCTGCAACTGATACTGCTTCCAACAAAGGTTCAGCAAACCCAATCTGCTAAAAACACACACACACACACAGAGCTGCCTCTCTCTCTCTCACTAAATAGCTCCTCTCACTCTTTGACGATTCCTCTTCACTTTCTCTCCCAGCATGTCTCCATTGTACAGGTCATTATATAACAGATATCAGATGGTTCAAACAATATCCTCCTCCTCCTCTCCTCCCTCTCTCTTCACCCCACTAATTACTGTTTCCACTGGGGCTCTGCTATCTTTAGGTTTGCTCTTCTGTCAGAGGCATACGTTGCAGTGCAGCCTCTGCGTTCCTGATAACTGCACACTTTTTTTCTTCTTAATATATTACATGTTATTGCACAGGCTGTTCGCAGCAACCAAAGTCCTGACCAAAAGGGCAAGAGCCGCCGTCGTACGTGCAGATTAATAAGCCTGAAAGTGCCAAAGACAGAGCTCTGTGTGCTTGACATTTCCTGACATTTGTGATTCCTCCTGTGGAGAGAGGGAACAATTCAGCTTTGCTGGTCATATGGGGAGATCTGGAGAAATTAAACGGGGCAGGGAGCAACTTAATAATGCCACACGTGTGTGAGTGTGTTTAACACGCCCACTACTACTACCACATCTTTCCAAGTGCATAAGGATTCAGATTTTTAGCTACACTCACGGTCTGTTGTCTTATGAAGAGCACACACTCACAAAACTCCTTAATATTACCTGAACCCCAAACAGACATGAAGTCTACTTTGTGCATAAGATAAGAAGGAAGGAAGTTTAACAGCATACAAAGATTAAACCTACATTAAGGCACAGCTTGGAGCTTTATGACAGCCCATTAACACACACACACACACACACACACACACACACCTAGCTTATGCTCTCTGGGGAAGCAGTTCCCTACCACGCTGATGCTTCAGATAACTCTTGTCCCAGTTCAAAATCGGAATTAGTGGAAGAGGGAGGAGATACAATAGCTTTAGGCACTGATGGAGCATCTGAGTCTGACTGTGTTATGAGGTGATATGACAGCTGTGAGCTGAAAGATTGAATCCCCTGCTTCACTATCACCACTACAGCCAACGCGTGTTTCTAATATTACAAAATAAATATAGGACAACTTTACAGTCATCTCCATAAAAGCGAAGAATCGGATCACTTAGAGTAGCGTGACAAATTTAAATAGTTACATAATGACTTTGCATCTCACAGCACAGCAATAACTGTCATTAAATACCTTTTTTCTACCAATAAGGTAGCTCATAAATTGAGTTTACATCATCTATAAAGCTGCTTTGCGTCCCGGCGCATGACCAGTAAAGCATGTATAGACCAGCTGATACTGAGTTTAACAATATGCAGTCCTGATGAGAGATATTAGTTCCCAAACAAGTATGTAAAGCGCTTACGGTAATGAAAAGGCAAAATCGTGTCCAGGACGGAGAAGCACCCGGTGCGCTCCGGCTATCCTCGTCTGGATGTCCGCACAAACTGCTTCCCCCCCCCTTACCTCCACCCCCCCAGGCTCCACTCTGTTGTCTTCACCTTGTTCCCCCCTCCCCACCCCACCCCGAGGTGCTTTCCTTGCACACGTACAACGCTCACACACGTAACGCTCGCTCACCCGCGCTCGCACACATGCAAACACACGCATGCATGCACCGCTCACTCCGCACTTTTCGACCAGCTGACTCCTCTCGCTCTCTCTCACATGCACGCAGACACACGCCAGCGAAGGACAGCCTCCTCCTTCTCTCTCCCCGCCCTGTTCACTAGAACACACTGCAAAAAATACCCCTTTTTTCCTTCATTGGCTCTTCGGAAAACTCGACATGTCTGTAAAAGTGGACTATTTTTGCAGTGTGTTCAAGACCTGACTGTAACCCTCCGAGCAGAAGGAGGACTTCAATGTATGAGCCAGTGGCAGCCCCAGAAAAAAATTACATATGGTGGAAACTGCATATGAAAAATGGAGTCACCATGAAGTTTTTTTGTTGTTTGTTTGTTTGTTTGTTTTTTAGCAACATACAGTGTTGTGCAAAAGCCTGGAGCCTCCTCCTATCTCTCTATATTTTGTTTGGAAAATAGGAAATAAGTGAAGTGTTTATTGAAACTTGCAAACATGCATGAAATAAAGTATATGAAGGCAAAAATAGAACTTGTGCAGTTCTAACGAGCTTGAAAGTTCATATTTGACCACCTGTGCAATAGGGAAGGGTCTCTAGCAAAGTAGAAGCTCTGTTAAACAGCATGCAAGAGTTAGCATGGCAAATATTACCTTAAACCTTATTAACAGGTAAGCACGGAAAAAGGGGACAGATAAGCATCTAAATCAAATCACACTGAGCTGTTTCCAAGGCTGTACACTGTTAGTTTTGCTTGGGGTCATATCTTACATGGGAAATGGCGCAAATTTGACATCCTGGGCTCCCCTCTTGGCAACGGCAATGGACACGCTGATGGACGAGCTCAGACTCTCTGTGGACTATATCTGAAGAGCACATGGTCTGTACTGACAGAGCAGGTTGAGGGGAACCTGGAGAGGCAGAGGTACGCTTTGGAAAGAAGAGCGGAGCAATGAAATTCAGCAGATCCGAGGTAGAAGACGTTTGTGAATGAGAGAGAGAGCACGGTGGAAGGGTTAGGATGCAAGGAGCAGAGGTGGTGAAGGAAAGAGTTTAAGTGCTTGTCTTTCACTGTGTAGTGAAATGGACAAAGCCTAAAAGATGTGAAGAAGAGAGTGAGGGCAGGGTGGTGTGGTGGAAGAAGAATGTCATGGACTGATTTGGGTCAGAACGGTAGCGTCAAAAGTGGAAAATAAGGATTACAGTATGAGACTAGCAACACTAGATTGCCAAAAGTACACACTTGTCTGCCTTCACACGCATATGAACTTGAGTGACATCCCACTCTTAATCCATAGTGTTCAATATAATATTGGTCCACCTTTTGCAGCTATAACAGCTTTAATTCTTCTGGGAAGGCTTTCCACAACGTTTGGCGTTTATGGGAATTTTTGACCATTCTTCAGAAGCACATCTATGAGGTCAGACGCTGACATTGGGTGGGAAGGCCTGGCCCAGAGTCTCCAGACTAATTCCTCCCAAAGGGGTTCTGTCTGGTACAGAATAGTCAAGTTCCTCCTATCTCGCTCGTTAATGTCTTTATGGACCTTGCTTTGTGCACTGGTCCACAATCATGTTGGAACAGGAAGGGGCCATCCCCAAATTGTGCGCACAAAGTTGGAAGCATGAAATTGTCCAAAATGTCTTGGTGTGCTGAAGTTCCTTCTTCCTTCTTGTACTTGGTGAGGTAAGGCTTGGATGCAGCTGCTCGGCCTGGTTGACAGATCCTTCACTAGGGACACCACCTTTCTGGAAACTCTGTACATAAAGCTAAACAAGGAGGTCAGTAATAATAAGACATCTATCCACTCATTCTCTTCCGCTTATCCTCATCAAAGTCATGGTGGGGCTGGAGTATGCTGTGTTAAGCTGCCGTGGTCATTCTTCTTTGAGTACATCCCATCAGTGCAGTGGTGCATTTACTCTGTGAGGAGGCTGAATTGAGAAGACAGCAACTGATGAGGAACTACTGGCTAATAAGGTTGTAGGTATAGGTCTATTTTATACTTAACAATACATTAATGATTAAATGAGTCACCTATCACCTGTTTTAATTTTCTATACAAAGACAGCTGTCTGCCTGCTAGCTTGCACATCTCAAACTGCAGCTTGTTTAACTTCTCCAGTGCTTTTCCCATTCAGTCTCAAGGCTTAAACAGTCAGCATCATCAATATTTGGCTTAAGTGAGTGAGTAATAACCCATATCCCAAACCAACAGAGCTTGAAATAAGTCACAGCAGTGGTAGCTGCAATTACACAGCTCTCAGCAATACTAGCAACAACTTCTTTTACAGGCATTAGATTGTCTGTGCTGTGCTAGATTATCTTCAACACCTCCTTTTATTTGCATCTATCAGCCAGTGGCCATTTGCAAGCTCAGGTTTCACCCACTTATAGGTTAACTAAGCCTTTATCTACTGTCAGACTGAGGACACATGTTGGGGGTTGACAGCAGATAACAAGGAGGCTTGGAGAAGTAGGTTCGGCAAGGAGAAAGACACTTTATTTGGATGACGATAACCCTTATTCCATTACAGCATTCATTTGTTTCAAGGTCAGACATTTCTGGACGCTTAAGGTGACGCTGCCTCTGCCAGTATGACAGCTGAACTTCTGACAGTAGAAATAAGCTTTTCTGTAGCTCCAAGCAGACATCCCTCTGTGTAGGCTGTGTAAGCCTGCAAAATCTCAAACATGAGCCTGTATGTGCATGAGCCCGATGCCACGTGTATTTTGGATGTCCATGAACTTTTCAGAGGAAACTGGGCTCTGTAAATAGGTCAAAGGTAAAAGCTAGTTACAGATTGTGGCCTCCATGTAGGGCTTTGTTTACAAAACCCACATTAGAAGATAGAGTGGAAAAACATATGGAGTATCAAACCACCTCATCATCACATGGGAGTGCTTATACCCAGAACTTGGCAGAACTGGTCTAACATCTGAGGCAGTTCTGTAGCAGTTGTAGTCATTAACATAAAGACTCCAGTTCTTATCAGATTGAAGATTTCATTTGGGCTGGTGTTTACAGCAGCCAGAGCAGAGTATCAAAAATAGTACACAATCAGAGCTCAAAATAGTACACAGCACAATAAGAAACCTCAGCCCAGTGAGTCTAAAAGCGACAATTTTGACACAAACTGTAAGATGCAAAAATAAATAAATAAAAGACAAAAAGAAGTCTCACCCACCTGCTGTGAAGGGCGTCTGTTTGCAAGAGGAAGCCAATCGGGAGAGAGTTGGTTTAAAAGGATGGGAAAGAAGATAAAATGGTATGTTTCAGACAGAGGATCAACTCATTAACTGGGAATCATGCAAAGCTGCTCTAGCAGAGTCCAGGAAAAGAAATATGGGGCAGGAAATCACTGCTGAGACTACAAAATATTAGCTTAATGGATGCACCAAGCCTCCAGTTGTGCACATCCCCTGATGCTAGTAGTTATTCGACAGCAGAACTGTGGAAGAGGTGATTGGCTAGGGGGAAAAAAGCCCAGACAGTTGGAGCTCTGTTTAATTCTGCTCTTCAAAGGTTACTAAAGTCAATCCTCAAACACTCCCAACCATTTGTTGAATGCCTGTCCTTCACCAGGTTTTTACAGGAAGTCAAAAATGATGAGTATTATTTCCTCAGGTCCAAAGGGTATTATTCAAAGACTTGAGCCATCGAACATTCAACATAACAGTATAGTTGTCATTTATTCATAATCTGCATACAATTTTAGTGAATTCTGAATGTTTCAAGTTTCTTTAAATTAATGGCAGCGTTTGTTTTCCCTGCAACATCTCCTGTTTCTAACGGGCTATATAGGAAAGCATCTGGAAACTGTAAAAAGACAAAACACAAAGAACAAGGATTTGTTCAGTTTTTAATCATTTCCTTCTTTCTTTACCAATAGGTACAGTGCGACTGTAGAAATCAGAGCCCAATTGAAACCAGAGACCCAGAACCACTTCAAAGTAGGAACTTCTAGGAACACTTTAAAGGTCTGGCTTGGTCCAATGACCAGTTGGTCCCTCCGCTCTGTTTGTTTGCATTCATTGGCTAAATGCAGCAGCGTTACGCAACGGACAATGGCAGCAGAAGCAGCTTGACGCTTCCCACTGAAATGGGTCAGCCGCACAAACACATGGACGTGCGCAGTGTTTTCAAAACACAGGAGAAGCGTGGCTGTTACATAAAAATTCCTCTGACCCTTGTTGGGAAACAGCCTTCCCAGATGTGGTGGAACCTGAGTCTCTCAGGGACACGGGAGGTCAGTTCAGAAAACACACACACCACTGTGGGCTTAATTGTCTCCAGTTGTAAGTTCAGTGTGCAGCATGTTAACACGTGACGTCTGACAGCCTAAAGTAACTTCAAAGCACTACCCTGGTCTGGGTGTGAACGGGAGACTTACGTGTAAAGCGGGTGGGATGCCATGAATGGTTACGTCACAGACTCGACCTATCGTGCCACGAGAGTCTTGAAACCTGTGAAAGCTCCACAAAGTTCACAAAACTGAATCCGATCACATGGATTTAGGTCAGAGCATGCCGGTGTTAGTGTGTGTCCTTTCTTGCAGGGTACAGCGTGTGCACTCACAGCATGTTTTGCAGGTGATTCATTGTGTAAGTTTGTGTTTGTGGGTGTGTCCGTGTGGACAACTTGACTGTGGTTGGGTGGTCTAGGAGCTGTTGTTGACAGCCTGCTGGTTTTTTAATTGATATTCACCTCTGAGCTGGAATGCCACTGCTTCTCCAAACATAATAGAGCACAGAAGTTTCGGTTTGGTGCAGAGAGGTGGAAATGGTGGCCAAGAAAGCAAAGACCTACATGAAATAATGCACAAGAGATGATTCGTTCTTTCTAGGAATAGCAGTGCGGTCCACCCCTCCAACACTTTGGACCAGATGGAAAAAGCTCAGCAGTACTGGATGATTTGGCCTGTGCTACGCCAATGTTCACAGTGATCTTATTGTAAATTTTGAAAATTTGCTGGATTTTCCCAACTTCTGC